CCAAGAAGGGTTGACGGGTTTTTAGTGGGTCGGGGCTGGTTGTAGTTCGCCAGCTTATTTTGTTTAGTGTTCTCCTTTTTTTTCTAACCACACATAACCTTGGCAAGCGGAAGCCAAGGTATCTGTATACAGATTTCCAAATAGTCCCTAAGCAAAAAAAAAATTAAAATAAATTAAATTTGTAAAATAAAATGTCTGGTCGTGGTGCGTTAAAAGGCAGGCGACGAATCGGTGGTGAGTCCTAAATGGCATATCATTAACTTTCAGCCTGACTGACATTTAATAAACAAGGAGGGGGTCCTTTATGTTTATTTCATAAACATTATGCTTTCTTATTGTGTGAAGCAAAAAATTCGCTTCCTCGTGAAGGAAGCAATGAATTTGTCCAATTCAATTGATTGATTTAAAAAATTTCGAGTTAAAAATGTTTTAAATTAATTAAATTTTTTGAAAAATAAAGAAAATTTTAATTAATTTTGAGTGTAACATAAACTTTATATATACGAATCGATTCATTTTAATGCAAGGAATACAATTATTTTATTCATCAACTTGAATTAAAAAAAAACACAAAATTTTTTAGCTAAAATATGAATTTTCGATTTTTCAATTTTTATTAATTCTCAAATTTTAAATCAAATCTATACTTTATATATACCAACCAATTCGTTTCAATGCAGGGAATAAAATTATTTCATATATAAACATGAATTTAAATAAACACATCATTTTTTAGCTAAAATGAGAATTTTTGATTTTTTAACTTTCATTAATTCTTTAAATTTCAATCAAATCTATACTTTATATATATCAATCGATTCATCTTGACATAAAGAAGACGATTATATTATATATTACCTTAAATTTTTCGATTTAAAAATTTTTTCAATGAAAAAAAAATTTTTGGAAAAAAGACGATAAAATTTTTATTTTGGGGTATTTTTAAAAATCCTCTCGTCATTTTTGAGAGATTAATGTGTTAAATAAGCCTACCAAATTTTACCCAAATCCATTAAAACCTGTTAAAGATATCGTGTTCACAAAAACTATCCACACACACATACACACACACATACATACATCCGGACAATTGATCAGGATCTCATATAACATGTTTCTATATAGAGGAAAATTTGTTTTCACCATTTTTAAAAAGTTTATAAACGAAAGGACTACATAGCTTCCTCCACGAGGAAGCAAAAATAAAATTAAAATAATTTGTCTTATACAAAATTTTGATGCTTATTGAAATTGTTTCGCGTACATATGTCAAAGCTTCTATATTATTCGGCCTTCAGCCGAATACTTCAATAAATAAAAATTATTCGGAAAATTAAAATTATTATAATAAAAATTAAGTGAAGTGTTTTAATTGTATTTGCAATAACGTGATGAGTCAGCAGGCGTAAATTTAAATAATAATTATGTGTAGAATGGTTTAGTTATTATCAATTCTAAAACATATAGGGCTGCGCAGTTCATTTTTTTACTTCCAGCTATGGTCCCAAATACATATTAAAGGGAATTCGTATCTAAAATTAAATTAATAATTAATTTAATAATAAATTGAATAATAAAGTAATAATAGTTTCAGCTACCTTGCAGCAAACTTGCAGTAGACTTGCATCAAACTTGCAAAAAACTTTCAGAAGACTTTCAGCAATTTTGCACTGCAAGCATGCAGCTTGCTTGTAGTAAACTTGCTTCAAGCTTGCTGCAAGTTTGCAAAGGGTGGAACATTGCAAACTTGCAAAGCAAATTTGAAAAACTTGCAATGCAAGTCGTCTGCAAGTTGGCAGCAGACTTGCGTGCTATCTAGATATTGTATAATTCAAAAAGAAATCGACTTTTATAATACGAGACCGACCGCGCGCTACAGCACGCGTGTTCTGTACTTTCGTAAAGCAAATATTTTGTAAAACATATTTACTTGATATATAAGAAACACAGACCACTATTCTACTGTTAATTTTATCCACATCAACATCTCGTGCAGACAATATAGCATCTTTTGTTAAATCATCGTATTTTCGTCTCATTACACTGGGTTACAAAAAAATGGTCAAGTCGTGTTTATTTAAAATTTTCTGTGTTTATTGAAAGTTTAGGTGTCACTGAACAAGAATATACCCCAAAAAAAATTTTTCATTCGGTCAGTTCCGTAAAAAACGAGATTAAAGTGTCAAAAAATCGGTTTTTTAGCACTTTTTGAAGCGTTGTAAAACGAAAACGCAACAAGATAAAAACCTTCACGAGGGCTTGAATGAAAGCTTAAACCTTCAACTTTGAGTCCCAAAACTGAAAAGTGCATGATAATTGCGCAGAAAATTTATTTAACATGAAATAACTATCTCAAATAGTCAAAATAGTTAGAGCACTTGTTAAAAATCGATTTTCATAACCGAATTTATTTGGAACTTGTTACTTGGAAGTTTTCAACGTTTCTATTGACGTTTCGAAAGTTGTATTTAAAAAATTCAAAATGGCGAATTAAAAATGGCGTTCAAATATTTAAAAAAACCCTGAGGAAAAAACTGCGATTTTTGAAATTTTTGAACGCCATTTTTAATCCGCCATTTTGAATTTTTTAAATCCAACTTTCGAAACGTCAATAGAAACGTTAAAAACTTCCAAGTAACAAGTTCCAAATAAATTCGGTTATGAAAATCGATTATTAACAAGTGCTCTCTATCCCAGCTATTTTGACTATTTGAGATATTCATTTCATGTTATATAAATTTTCTGCGCAATTATCATTCACTTTTCAGTTTTGGGACTCAAAGTTGAAGGTTTAAGCTTTCATTCAAGCCCTCGTGAAGATTTTTATCTTGTTGCGTTTTCATTTTACAACGCTTCAAAAAGTGCTAAAAAGGCGATTTTTTGACACTTTAATCTCGTTTTCTACGGAACTGACCGAATGGAAAATTTTTTTTTGGGTATATTCTTGTTCAGTGACACCTAAACTTTCAATAAACACAAAAAATTTTAAATAAACACGACTTGACCATTTTTTGTAACCCAGTGTTATTAATTCTCTGATAATTGTATCAACTAAATCATTATATCAACATTCATGAAGTCACGTAACGTTTGATCAATTAACCCTTTCGTGCCCCTGGGAAACCCAACGGACGGCCCAGATAGCAAAGTGCGCGCTTTGTTCGATACATATGGCACACACGCGTGACGTTTGATCCGCACCACGTGCCCTCACCGCATCCCACAGATGCGTCCTCAAATGCGACTCATAAAGATCGCACGAATGATGGACGCGTGATGCTTATATGCGTGACGGTTAGATGCGCCTTTCGTGCTTCTTCATAAAAATTAATTTTTTTTATAAAAATTTCAATTAAAAAACAATTTATGCAGTTTTTTTGGTTTTTTATTACACTTTTTTCAATAAATTCGATAAAACACAAATTACAACTTAACATATAATTTTAGTGAGTAGATGTTTTAAATAAAAATTCGCCACAAAGATATGCGAAAATAAGTAACATAAAATTCACGCTTTTTTTAACAAATGTAATGTTAGAATGAAAAATAAATGTTTAAATAAATAAAAAACCAAATGATTCATATGAAACAAATTAAAACATTTAGTTTCTCATTTGCCTTAGGACTTAGGGTTTTTTAAGTGTTGTAGACACCCTATACAATATTATACTTATGTATTATTGTTCAGTCTTTTATAACTGTATCCTGTAAGTCTATGACAAGGGTGTACAGAAATATTATAAGTAATAAAATATAATAATGAAGTAAGTAAAACAAATGTTTTGCAAAATACGTTGACTTTTGGCGTATATGCGATGATACACATTCTATATATTACAGATTCTCTTTACCTGAGAGAAAAAACATTACAAGAAGTACAAAATTTTAAAACTAAGTGAAGTAATAATAATAATAATACGTTTCGATTATCTAAAGGAATGTTTCTATGTGTGTAAAATCAGCTTTTGCTTGTTTCTTACAAACTTAATTTTGCTCTTCGTCTGTGTAGCTATCATTTTCACAAGATCCCGAATCGTCGTATGATTCGTCCTCATTTTAAGAACTGGCATCATAGTTAGAATAACGCTCGGCTTCTAATCTTGCAATTTCCTGTTCTACAGCAGTCAAATCATCATCTTCATCACCAACACCATTTTCAGGTCTATTTTTGCGGAGACGTTTTCGATGTCTTTGTTTCGTGTGTCGCAGAACTTCTAACATGTGATCTTTAAAAATCTGTTTATTTGCAGGACCCTCGAAGTTTATGCATTTTTTGGCAGATTCTGCAAAAATAAATATATAATTTAACGTAAATTTCAATAGAATAAATTAAAACTTTTAAAACATATACGTTTAGGTTTTATTGAATTGTTTTTCAACCACTTCAATTTAATTTTTCAATCTTTAAAATGTAAGCATAAAAACAGTAGTATCAATATCAATATAAAAATTTCAAATAATATTAATTGTCATCAAAAAAAAAAAAAAAGGAAAATTGATCATATCTTCCAAAATCATAAAAGTTTTTTAAAAATAAACCTTTCATTAAGACTTTATTGTAAATGTATTGTAAATAAAAATAGATAATAAGTTAATAAAAATTGTACCTTAATGTTATTATTCGAAATGATAAATTTGTTATTATTTGAGAAACTTGTTAAATAAATCGTCAAAAATTGCTTGTTTATAATAATCTATGCATAATTGGTTAAAATAACAAAGAATACTTACGAAATAGCACATTTGAAACCTTTGTATTGCCGAATGCCAAAGTATCACTTCCTTTATTCCAAGTGAAAGAGCAAACCAGATTATCTGTCACTATCTGCTTTAAAGAGTTAGCCAAAAATTGTCTCAAAGTTACACCTCCCATATTGATTAGGTGATTATACTGAAATGAATTCGTAAAATATTTAATCGAAGTCTAATGTGTGTAGATTTGAATTGACTAAATATTTATTTAGTCAATTTTTTTAATAACTCAGTTTACTTACAATTCTCATACGAACGTCTTTCGTTTCATTAGAGTTTAACTCTTCAAATTGTTCAACTGTATCAATAGGGAATCCTGCAAGAGGTGTTAAAAAATTTTCTGAGAGTTTGTTTTCCGATTCAATTCTATTTTTGGAGAGTTCCTTAAGAATTAACTCTTGCTGAGCTAGAATTTGAACGTTTTGTTCGAGTATGATACTGAAAATATAAAAATATTATTTCTTATTATTTGTGTCAAAACAGAGAAAATTATCACGGTGAGCTTCGTTTAGGTTCAACCTAAACTGCATGACCCTTCTCAGATTTTTTTTTATATCAATTCGGTGATGCCTCACGATCATTTTAAGACGAAAATTAAAATAATCGTTGGAGGGAAACTCAAATTATATTGATTTTTGAATTTTTTTTCTAGGTTATTGAAGATATTTTCATTAAAATACCGTTTGGTAAAATACTTATTGCTTCAAAAGCTACAATTTAACATAAAAATAGATTATATATAATAATTAAACCATTTTGATACATAGAATTAAGAAAATGTTTAAAAATAGTCGAAAAAACTGAAATTTTTCTAATTTTTTAAACTTTACTCCTTTATTTAACGTTATTTCAATAAAGTCATGTAGAAGTGAATTAAAGTACATAAAATTTCCTGTAAATCAAAAAAAAAACTCTTCTATCTATTATTGTTACAAAAATATGGTCATTTGAATTTTAAATTTAATGGATAAATAGTTAAAATTTACCATTAGGTCTAGATTATTTGGTAAAATTGTTTTCGCAGAACCTCATCTCAATTCCAGAATATAATACGTATAAGAAGGTTTAATCTTGAACAGTTTCAAATTGAAAAAACTGATTTATCTCACTTACATCGAAAGTTACATTGGTTTAAAGAATGTCTATTTCTATAAGAGAGATTTGAGTAGTTTTTAAAAATCCGTTTATTTTGAAAAATGCAACATAATCATATTTAAAATATTTACTTTTTTAAAAAGTAAATGGTAAGGTACAATTATTTGGTAACAACCACGATATTTTTAAATTGCGTGAAGGCCGTTGTATTCACAAAGAGCGCGATTTAATTATGGAATTGAGATGAGGTTCTGCGAAAACAATTTTACCAAATAATCTAGACCTAATGGTAAATTTTAACTATTTATCCATTAAATTTAAAATTCAAATGACCATATTTTTGTAACAATAATAGATAGAAGAGTTTTTTTTGATTTACAGGAAATTTTATGTACTTTAATTCACTTCTACATGACTTTATTGAAATAACGTTAAATAAAGGAGTAAAGTTTAAAAAATTATAAAAATTTCAGTTTTTTCGACTATTTTTAAACAGTTTCTTAATTCTATGTATCAAAATGGTTTAATTATTATATATAATCTATTTTTATGTTAAATTGTAGCTTTTGAAGCAATAAGTATTTTACCAAACCGTATTTTAATGAAAATATCTTCAATAATCTAGAAAAAAAATTTAAAAATCAATATAATTTGAGTTTCCCTCCAACGATTATTTTAATTTTCGTCTTAAAATGATCGTGAGGCATCACCGAATTGATATAAAAAAAAACCTGAGAAGGGTCATGCAGTTTAGGTTGAACCAAAACGAAGCTCACCGTGTTATGTGATGAGCAACTAACTATACTTACTCTAATGTGTTTTGCAATTGGGTTAGAGAAGCACCTTCGACGACTTTAATTTCTTGAGTAGAAAATCCAGGTGCATTGTTCCCACCTAAAATTTGGTCGTGTTCCCTCTCTGGTCACCTTAAAAAATAAAATGAAATTTATACGTCATTAACAACAAAGTATATTGTTCTTAAATGTATGTGTTACTTCACAATGTACTGCCCCGCGTGGCAGGGTGCGTGAAGGTCAGTGTTTTATTTATTTAGTTATTATTATTATTGTTTTTATTATAATTATTATTATTTTTTTTTCTTAAAGATATGAAAATGTACACTTTTTTACCGTGTTGATTCTAAGGTCAAATCATCACTTCCGGGATCGGAACGTTCATTCGCAGACATGTCTTGCAAAGATAGTGGCGGGTAATGTCCATTTTCGGAATTTTGCTGTTTAGATGTTGATGATTTTTCAGATTTTGATTTATCGAGCGGTCTGGAAAATAAAAAACAATTAGGATACAGAAAATATCCGATTTCTAATTATAATAGTGTTTATATAGTAATATTGCTTCCATCATCACTTATTTATGTATTTATTTGTATTACCCAGGATTTTCTGATATACCCTGAAACTTACCCTGTATTTTCTAAAGTTTTGTTCAAATTATCACTTCTAGAATTGGTAGAATCATTTTTATTTGACTTGAAATCAAGTGGTGAACCGAGTGTGTATGGAGAAAGAAAAGAAGTTGGCGTATGACCATCAATTTGCAGACTTTGACTTCCACTTGCTAATGAACAATCAGGTTTTGATTTATCATCTTTAGACTTATTGTATAGCCTATAAAATGTAAAAGAAAATTCAGATTGAAAACATTTAATTTCCACTGATTTTTAGTAATGATATTTTCATAATCATATTTTACTAATGCGTTCATAGATATATTTCAACATTACAACATATTATTATTATTTTACAATTTATATTATTCTTGTAATTAATTATTACGTACAATGTTATACCAGAACTTAAGGTCTTAATAGACTTGAGAATCTGTAAAGGTGATTTACTCGACCTGTTGGCTATTATTGTTGCATATTTCTCTTTTAAATTAGCCATCTTTTCATCTACTTCTGTTGTTGTTTTTGATTTTTTCAATGAAGATCCATCATCAGAAGACGTTATTACTTTTTGTGAGCGATTGAGTGTTCTACCACTTCGAGATGTCTTTAATGGGTGCTTATCCTGCTTCCCTTTCCATAAATTTTGGCTCATGACGTTAACCTGTACTTTAAACGAAAGAGAAATTAATAAGGGGATTACGTTAAGGGGCAGAAAGCAGTCACAAATGATTTTATTTCTCTTTACTGGTTTAAAAAATCGTACGGATCGTAAAGAACTTTAAATATAAAAAAATCTTATTTTATGAAAAATATTTTTACATTTTCATCACATGAGAAAGTAAAAATTTTGGTCGAAAATTAATTTTTCCTAATTTTTTTTTAATTTTAATATGTTGCACGGAGAGAAATCTGGTGCGATTTACGCATGAGCATGTCCTTAGGAATATAGTAACAGACGCTTTCAAGCAAAAATCCTAAGTGAGCGAGGTATTATTGTATGAGTCTCACCTGATATTCAGATGGAATCTTATAGTTTTTGCTTGGAAGTGTCCATGCTATATTCCTATGGACTTGCTCATGCGCAAATCGCAGCAGATTTCTCTCCGTGTGATGTCCGCAAGAAAAGGGATCACTTTGGTTTATCTGTATGAACGAATTCCTTGTTTTTGGAAAATTTTCGAGAAGTTTATCCCTTATTTAGGTATAAAAATTACACCATTTCAAAGTTTAGGATTGCGAAAACCTTATTTTAGGAAAAATGAAAAAAAACTTGAAGTGCGAAAATCTATGTTTTTCCTGCGATGTTAAACAAATTTACAAGTTTTTCAACAAAAATACAAATTGGCCTATTTATTTAAAAAGTCAATTTTCAAATGATTATCGTTTTTTTCAAATAAAAAATAAAAAAATACACTTACAGTACCGTCCAGAAGTATCAGGACGATTACACGCGACTCTCTGAAAAAACATGTTATCACTTTTTCAATCATATTTCTGCAACAAAAGTAGATACAAAAAAAACTCAAAAACGGTTAGAAAGCTTATTAAATTTTGAATAAAATAAGCCATGTTTGAAGCCATTCCGTTAATAATTTTCTGAGTTGTAGAGTGAGAAAGATGGAAAAAATATTATCAAATTTTCTAATTTTGGTCTCTTGACTTCAACATTTTCAAAAATCTAGAAAAATTTAGATAAAAATTTTTTAAAAACACAGAAATCTTCGCTAGAATTTCAGCTTTAAAATAAATGTTAGAAAATTAAAAAATATTAATCCGTCATCGAATTATCATTAAAAATTTGAAGCCTTGTTACGCCCGATCGATGCTTTGAAAATCAACTGTGACGACTCGATTCCGGCTTCGCGCGGGAGCAAGCGGGAGAGAAAGCAGGGTCGGATTTATGCGGAAACGATGAAATTTCGAGTTTCACGACGAAAATGTAAAGGAACTCGAAATTTCATCATTCCCGCATAAATCCAACCCTGCTTTCTCTCCCGCGCGAAGCCGGAATCGAGTCGTCACAGTTGATTTTCAAAGCATCGATCGGGCGCAACACGGCTTCACATTTTTAATGATAATTCGATGACGGATTAATATTTTTTAATTTTCTAAAATTTATTTTAAAGCTGAAATTCTAGCGAAGGTTTCTGTGTTTTTAAAAAATTTTTATCTAAATTTTTCTAGATTTTTGAAAATGTTGAAGTCAAGAGACCAAAATTAGAAAATTTGATAATATTTTTTCCATCTTTCTCACTCTACAACTCAGAAAATTATTAACGGAATGGCTTCAAACATGGCTTATTTTATTCAAAATTTAATAAGCTTTCTAACCGTTTTTGAGTTTTTTTTGTATCTACTTTTGTTGCAGAAATATGATTGAAAAAGTGATAACATGTTTTTTCAGAGAGTTGCGTGTAATCGTCCTGATACTTCTGGACGGTACTGTAATAAAAAATGTTGTGAATGCTTCTATTATGAATAATGTTCAGAAATATGAAAAACCTCATTTTGACAAAAACTTTCTTTTTAGTAAGTTATACAGATTATAATTTCTTTAAGAGATATTTTTAAAATAATAAATCAATAGATTTTATATTTTTCACCTCCGAAAATTATCGAAATTTGCAATTTTTTCGACGAACAGAAAAAGTGCTCCCTTTTCGGTATTTTCTAAAACAATGAAAATAAATACTCAAAAATGGAATAAATTCATGACAACTGCATGATTGCAGTAAAACTCTATAGAGATTGATGTAAATTAATAAAAAAATTCTGGATTTTTTACCGAAATTAATAAATTGCGATTATCTCGAAAAATGAAATCGACAAAGTAGTCAATTTTCATGAGAACATTCCACACATAGTTTAAACAACTTAAATATTACTACAAAATAAATTAGCTTCCCTTAATCCACTAATTTCATGCTTTATAAAAACGTAAAACTGCATATAATTATTTTACACTAATAAAAGCGTCATTCATAGAAAAATTGTTAACACACCAATTTTTTGACATGCTGTTTAAAAATATATAACGTTAGTTTTCTTACTCTGATCTATGTATGTTGATTGTCATATGCCTTCAGTTATATATTTTAATTTTCGGGAAACTTAAAAGGAGATAATAACGAGGCACATATCCACTTATTTTCAAGTATACGCTCTTCTTCCCCTTCTTTACTGCTCCATTGTGGCATAAGGTACATTTTATTTTTTACACTTTGAAGCGGAATTACTGTTAAAGTTTGGTCCAAATTTTGACAACTGTACACGCCTGCAGAAGATGACGATATTCCAACGTCATATACATCAGCAGAGGATAGAAAACTATTAACAACAAAATAAATTTGTTCTTCTATTTGTATTATGTTCTTTATGACGCACACGCTTAAATTGTTTAGTAAACAACAACTGTCTCGCTGCAGAGTTGAAAATGTGCTTTTTCCGATTTCAATTTAGTTAAATTCTTGACAAATATTGGCAGGAATATATTCTGGTAAAGGTCGCTGTGCGTGTCTTTGTGATAGATGAATTTGAACATTTTTATCTGGAGGTGTCGAATCGTAATCGTCACTTTCTACTAGTCTTTTATACACTTGCGGAAGCTTAAGGCCTGGCTTTCGGATCAATTTTCGTAACTCTTGCATGTTATTCTCATAGCAAAAAGCACTGAATGTTTCTGCAGGACCAAGAGTTTCAACATCAGCGACAACATGCTCCATGCCGTGAACATTGTAGGACATGAACTGTTCTCCATATACTTGTTCACTTATTGAAATATATTCTTTTAAAGAATCTTGGCAAAAAGGGTACAAATCACAACGCCTGGAAAAACCATCATTCTTTCAAATCCTTTAGTACTACATCTATGCCCTTCAATTTTACATTTTGAGCAGGCATTCGATGACATGTGACCAAAGTGATTCAAAGCGAAACCTCTCGCTGGCGTGTCAGCTATAAATCAGCGTAAAATGATGGGAAATCGTCGATTACCTATCAGAATACCTTCTTGATAAGATCTTCGTTCCCGACTTCATTAGGAATCCCTCTATCATCGAAATTCTCGAGACTGTCTTCTTCATTGCAGCTTTGACTTTCATAATCGTCTTCAGAAGATTGTTCGCGAAAGGCATGATGTACAATATTATCACCAGTACCTTCTTCCAATGCACCAGCTTCATTACAATTTGCCAATTTAACATTTTTCTCGTGGTTTTGTCTGTTATGAAGAATTACAGCTAGTCGTCGTCTCTTTTGCCTTGAACTGAGATTCAAGAAATCTTTGAATTTGCCAGACATGTTACTCTTTAATTGGAAGGTGCAATGTGATCTTAAAAAATTGTATTCTAATAAATAAAACTGATTTATTTTATAAATGTATATTAATTGAATAGTTATTCACACATTTGTGCCCCGTAATGTACTGTCCCGCGAGACAGGGTGCGCGGAGGCGCAAGCTTGCGTGTAGTTCGAATATGAAAAGTTTACTAAATTGGCGGATTGAGTGATTTTATAAATTTTTTTTTTCAAATTTTTTGCCAAATGTAAAAATGACGCTTAATTCCATGCATCAAGTCATGGTGTCTACATTTTTGGATGGACCAAATTCCTGTCTATTCTTTGGATTTTCCCCGATTTTCGTTTCGTTAATTAAATATCAATTAAATTGTTATTAATAATTAAAAAATTTAATATTATTAAACGTATTCTATTTTAAACCGTTTTTAAATAAATTGTTTTCATTATTTATCAAGAAACTATGGGTCCGAATTCCTCAAGCAGATCACCTAAAAAAATTTTTTAATTTTCAACAGTTGACAATTTCTTTACCCCTAACCTGATTGAAATAAGTTTATGCAATTTTTATACAAAGAACAATTTTGTTAAAGTTATTAACAATTTAATTTGTTAACAGTCTTAAATAAAAAAATTTTTCTTAAAATCCAGTTGATCAATTTAAAAATCAAAACAGGGGTTTTTTTCCTTAAAATGTAAAAATAATTTTTGTTTTAAAAAAATAATTTTTAATACTTTTAAATATTGTTTATTTATAAAATTTTAAGAAAAAATTATGTGTTTAAAACTTCACATACATTTTTTAGCATAAACATGGAAAACACAATTTTTTATTAACATTTTATAAATAAACAATTTAAAAAAAATTATTCCAGACTTCCCTCATACGTGGTAATCCTGTTACATTAATTACATTTGGAGTAAAAAAAAATTATTCACCGATGAAATTTAAAATATTCTATTTCAGGCGCTACGTTTGAGAAATACTGACCCTTATGCAATTATGTTTTAAAAAAGCAGAATGTGATGTACATACGTACGTCTAAATAAAACTGTTTTTTAATCAATTGAATGATATTTTACATCATGATATTAATTTTTAATACTGGATTAATTTAAACTTTATTGTGTTGAAATGAAAAATCTTAAATATTTTTGCATAAGAAAGACCGATGTCCGTAAAAGATTGATTCAAAATTCCCAATTGAGTAGCTGCCTGCAATAACTCGCCGAGCGCTTAGCCGGTCGCTCTAACACCAGTCAAACGTTCAAAAACGTGAAAAAAATGAAAAATCAAAATTTTGATTTTTGAAAAGTGCAATCTTGTAGGACATAAGATGGCGCATCTTTTTTTCCTTTGAGTTTTTTTTGTAGATCAAAAAATAGAGTTAATATATGCAAAACACTTAAGAATTTTATTTCACAAATTTCATTCAATTTTTAAACATAAATCATAGTAGGGTAACGGCACCAGTGAAGGAACTGACACCAGTGAAAGAACAAATTTCATGTTTTGCATTCTAATTAGTGTAATAAGCAATTTGGTATTATAAATTATATATTTTTATGTTCCTTATTTAATTTACGTCTTTAGTATCTAAGATACCTAGAGAGTTAACACGTAAATTTTATAAAAAAAAATTTTTTAAAATGTTGTGTTGCAAATTTATCTTCAACAATAAGAACTCTTCTCTGACACGTTATTTCTTTTTTCACATTTAACTAATTTAAACTGCCTTAAATCGTCGGTCTTCTTTAAACTAAATTTATCTTGTGTATTAGAAATACTTCTTTTCATTTAAAAGCTAATAAAATATTAATTTGCCATAAGAAAAGCAAATTCCGTCATTGGGGGGTTTTTTTTTTTATTTACTAGTGAAAGAACAGAAATGTTTTTTCACTGGTTCCAATGCAATCCAATGAAGGAACACCTTCAACGAATAGTCTGAAGTCAAACAAAAAAATGACAAAATCAAATAGGTTAACACTGTTAGGTTACAATAATATTGTCAAAATAAATTGCAAGTAGATGATTGATTGTAGGTTATAA